TGCAGAGTTCAGGAAAGGCCTCTCAGGAACACCTGAGCTGAAGAAGGGAGGATGGAGAGAACAGGGGTGCACTGCAGGTGGGGTAGAGGTGGGACCTAACAGTAAAGACCTAAGCGCCTCTGAAGGTTACTGAGGCAAGGAGATGGGGACTCTAGGATGTGATCAGGCCAACACAGACCGGAGGTAGTCCCAAGGCACCTACAGGGGTGCCCTGTTGCTGGTACACAAACCAGAGGGTCCTCTTGGAGGACAGGAGGGGAGGAAAGAGGAGGGGAGGGGAGAAGAGGGGAGGGGAGGGGTGGGGCGCATCCTCTGGTTCATGGCTCACCTTCACGCGCTGCTTCTTGTGCTGCATGCTGTCCAGTTCGTCGTCCTCGTCGCTGTCTTCATCCTCACAGCTCTGGAGGAAGGGGATCTGCTCCAGCACCGAGCCACCCAAGCGCTCTTTGCCATCTCTGCCTGCCGCATTCCTGCCCAAGATGGGGGCAGAGGGGGGTGTTAGTCCTGCCAAGTGACAAAACTCAGATGGGAGGACACTGAGGCTTGGTGGCCAGAGCCTGGACCCAGCTCTCAGGGGGGCTGAGCCCACCCTGACCCCAGAGGAACCTTGACTGATCACACACAGGGCCAAAATCCCAGCCTCCGTCTGACAGACGGTCACCCCAAATCAAACCTTCATTTTGACCACAGACTGCGCCCAACTCCTGAGTTCTGAGCCTGAGTTCCAGGGGACTAGCCCCCAACCCTGACCAGACATGTCCCCGCATGTCCTGAGTCAGAAGGGCTACATGAGAAAGTGCCACAGAATCTGCAGCCCCCATTCCCATGGCCTGGTCAAACCACAAGCACATGAGAGGTGAGTGGCAGAGACACCCCCAGCAGGAAAGAGGAACTGGTCACCCATGCTGGGGTCCTACAGCCAGCCTAGCCCTGGGCGAGCCTGCACTTGCCCACTGACAGATGGCGCTCCTGGTTCTGGCCTACTGTTTAATGCCCAACCGAGTGACAAGTTTTAGCAAAGGAAGTATTTGTCAAACCGGACTCCACGTAGAAAGGGGGTGGAATTCAAAGTTAAGATAAATGCAAACAGCCTCCTTTCCTGACACTAGGCTGATGCTCTAGAGGGTTCTTGTCCACTGCCCAGGTACACGGTTACTGCCTGGTAGAGACCTCTCCTCCAGGTTGCCCAGTCCAGCACTCACTTCCTGGCCTCCTTGTGCACCGCCTTCCAGCAGAAGACCTCTGAGCTCAACTGCCAGGACCCCATTCTCGGGGTTTCCTCCCCCAATACTGGCTGCCTTGGCTCAGTCTCGTCCTGCTTCTCTCTCTGGCCTCTAGTCAGGGGAGAGCCCCCAGGGTTCAGCCTCGCACCTCCTTTCTGCGCCTGCCATTTACACTCTCTCCCTCGGTGACCACAAAGTCCTATAACTTTCAAAAACCTATGTGCTGGTGAACTAGTTACGGTTAGAAGTCAAGGTCCCCCAACCCCCAGCTCCAGGCTGGCCACTCATCATCAGCACTGGGGTCACCAGGCACCTCCAACTCCACCCATCCTAAATGGCCCCCTTGACATGCCACTCATTTTCCCCATCTCAGCCAGTGCTGCTCCCAGCTGCTCAGACCAAACCCTGGAGTCAGCCATAATTTCTTTCCTCTCCCCCCACATATAATACTGTAAATCATGTCAACTTACCCTAAAAACCCATCGAGAAGCCGACCACTTCTTGCCCTTCCACCTAACGTCCCCCATCTCTCACCTGGACACTGCAGTCATCTCCCAACTGGTCTCCCTGCCCGGACTCGTGCCCTCATACAGCCGCTGCTTCTCACAGCAGATCAAGTGTATCAGATTACATCACACCCCGGCTGGAAACCACTGGCTTCCCACAACCCTCAGAGCAGAATCCAAACTCCTTATCATGGCCGGTGAGGCCGTTTGATCTGACTCCTGAGGTTTCAGCCTCACCGCAGACCACAGCCCCATATGCTTGCCCCACTGCTGCCACGCATGATTCCCAAACACGCCAGGTCTCCTCTGTCTTAAAACCTGTCCACTTGCTGTTCCCTCTGCCCAGAACATTCTCCCTCCAGCTGCTTGGATAGCTTATCCTCCATGCACTTCTCTGTCCAAACATCACCTCCACAAAGAGGTCCTCCCTGCCCACCTCATCCAAAGCGTTTCTAATTCTCCCCCATTCTTCCTGACTGCCCTGCATTTTCTTCATAGCACCTAACACCTCAGTATTTATTCTGATGGATAACAATTACAGATGAGAGAATGAGTAAGAGCCAGAGAGCATTGACTGCGTGTCTTGTTCCCTGCCAGGTCCTAGCATGCAGCCCAGGGGCTGCCTTCGGCAGTTCCTCGAGTCAATGTCTGCTGAGGGGTGTGCAGGCCTGAACTTCAGCAGACAGGCCAGGCTGGAGATGAGACATGTGCATATCAGCACAAAGGCGAGGCCATGGGAGAGTATGTGCAGGAGACCCGGAACAGAATCAGGCTCCCACAATGAAGGGGCAGAGAGTTCCGGAACAAACGAGCCCAGAATATGCTCCAGGAAGGAAGTGGCCAGCAGAGCCTCCAGGAGCACAGCTGACTTTTCTGGCAATGGCCTTCATCAGGAGGGAGGAGGCAGAGGGGTGGGCCCGCCAGGCCCAAGGGCTCACCTCTTGATCTGCTCCTCGATCTGTTTCACCAGCAGTGACTCCCCGCCGCTGAGCCCCCCAGGGCCTGGCATGGTCCTGGGGCCCCCTTCACTGGGCTCCATGGCCCCATTGAGCTCCAATGAGCGGCCCAGTAGGGACCGCACACGCTTGGACCGCATGTCCAGGATGGTGTCCGTGTAACCCACCTCTTCCAGGTACCTGCAGGGAGGCAGAACCAGTGCAGGTAAGGCATCTTGGGGCTTCTTTATATACTGCAGGCGTATATAAAAGACAGCAACTTGGGATAGCCTTTTTGGAGGGGCAGCTTAAGACTATACACCAAAATTTTAAATATGCACATCCCTGACCCTGCTGTTTCACCTACCAGACTACTGCCAGTGGCAGCCTCAGACACAGACACAGTGCTGTTACACAGATGCTCGCCATGATGTTGGGCAGGAGACCAAAACACAGGGGCCAACCTGCATGTCCACTGACAAGGGCTGTGGATGCCAATTACTGATGGATTGCTAGGCAGAAACTAAACGAGGCAGAGTGCCAGGAAAAGATGGCCATGACAAACAGCTTAAGGAAAATTGTAAGTTATGTGTTCTATACAATTCAAATGTTTGAAGTGTTAATGAGTGCATAAGTATAGACCACACACACACACACACGTACGTACGTAATATGCCACCCCCTCCCCATAAGGCCAAGAAAGATACGTATTAAACTTATGAGCAGTCAGTGACCTCTGGAGAATAGGACTAGGGACATAAGAGGAACTTTTGCAACTTACTATTCACTTCTACAAATGAGCATTTATTACTTCTGCAATTACAAAAAAATTGAAGCCAATTGGTACTGGTCTAAAAGATAAAAAAGTGTGTGGGGGGGTAGAAATTATGGTTATCAGTGGCTTCAAAAGACAGAAGCCAAAAAAACTTAATTAATTAATTTAAAAAAAAGGTGCAAGCCAAAAATTCCTTGCTGGTCCTCAGAAGGCTTCTTGCGACCCCTTTTCTGTTTACTGTGACCCTGTCCCTTTGGGACCTCTGCCCCCGCACATTACACAAGACTTGCCTTCACTGCTGTCTCATCGAGTGCCTGCGTGTGTATGAGGCTCCCCGTCTCCAGCAGAGGAGAGGCAGGGGAGCATGGGGGTAAAGAAGTTGGGCTCTGGGGGTGGACGGCTGGAGATCACATCACAGACCCTCCACTTTTTAGCTGTGTGACCTTATGCAAACAGATACCCTCTCTGCACCTCAGTTTTTTAATATGTGAAAGTGAGGGGAATGCTAGCAGCTATGCCACATGAGGATTTACGTGAAGAATCAACATGTGCCAAATGTTATCACAGTGCCAGGCACACACTAAGTAGTTGGCAATTGTTGTCTATTATAATCATTTTGTTATTGTTTGAACACACTTTAAGCTAAAAATTGCACTTCCAGATATTAGGGAAATCAAGGAAATGGAGAAATAAATAACTTCCTGATGTTTGTCATACTGTCTATAAAAACACCTTCAATGAAATACAAGAAGGGATTGGCTATAGAAAGTTATTGTTAGGGCCGGCCGAGCGGCTCAGTTGGTTAAGAGCTCACTCAAGAGTGCGAGCTCTAAGCAACAGGGTTGTCAGTTCGATTCCCGGCCCGAGCTGAGCTGCCAACAGGTGGCAGGATGGCTCAGCTAAAAAAAAAGCAAGTTATTGTTACCCACCTCACAGACTACTACTATACAGTTCTTAAAGTGATGCAACACAACTAACTTATATGGAAAGATACAACACTTAGCAAAAGCAATGCATTACAAAATATTGTGTGTGGGGGGAAGCCCCTATTTATAAAGCACACGCACACGCACACAGATACACACACAACCACGGGAGACTGATAGTACAAGTATATATGCCAAAATGTTTATGAGGGTATGAAATTCCTTGGGTGGTGTAATTATGAGTGATTTCTATTTTCTCTTTGTGTTTCCCTATATTTCCCAAGTTTTCTAACACACACAAATCTCTTTAATAATAAAAAATAATTCAACATTACCCTTGGGAAAAAAAAGTGACAGAGGCATTTGGGGCTGCTTTCCAAGTGTAGGGTTCCCTACATCTGGCTCCTGCAGTGGGTCTTCCCACCCTCTTCTCAGGCAGGGCTCCACCCACAGGGTGACAGGCCATCTCAGCTGTGGCCAGTAGGGATCCCAATAGTTCCGTGTCCCCAGTGGGGACAGGAAGGACTGTGGAGTCTTCAGGCTTATCTCCCAAGCCAGACGTGTCCCTCTCCCCATCACCCCCCACCCCCGTACCGCTCTGTCCCTCTGCACACTCACTGTCGGAGAAGCTGCCGTCCCTCCTTCCATACCAGCGGGCTGTTCTCCAAAGTGACCGACTCCACGGGGCCATTGGAGACTGGAGGGTGGTGAGAAAGGAGGCAGGCTGTTAGTCAGGGCACCACGACATACCCATCACTGTCCCCATCTTTCTCGCCCTCGTCACTGTCACGGGTACTGCGGAGTCACTTCTGAGTATCTGAAACCTACTCTCCCCTCCGCATTCCTCATCTCTAGCTAGTCTCCTGACTAGTCATTCCCCAAACCATCCCCAGGCTATCTTCAGACTCAGTTCTGTTTTTAATTTTCCTACACAGGAAGCGGGCCCAGTTCTGAGAGAATGGGCAGACTCGACTGGGTTCAAATCCGGCTCTGCCAATTCCCAGGTGTGTGGCCTTGAGCTGGTTACTTTACCTATCTGAGCCTCAGTTTCCTCTTCTGGGAAATGACGTTAACAACAGCAGCACCTACCTCTTGAGATTGTCGTGTGGATTAAATGAGATATCTATTTATTTTATTCATCAAATATGCTATCGGACATCTACTACGTGCCTGGCTAGGTCCCCGGGTGACGTCAGTAAACAAACCCCCTGCCCTTGTGAAATTCACATTCTTGTAGGAGCAGTCTGACATACATAACGACAGTCACTATTAGCCTGGCAGTGAAGGCCATGACAGGACCTGGCGCCTCACCTCCGCCGCCCCACGCCATTCGCTCCAGTCACACCCAGTAGCTCCTTCTCGAACATACCACACTCCTCCCTCCTCCTGGAGCGCCTTCTCTACTGCCCTGCTGGTGAACTGATCCCTCTTTCAAGGAGCGGAGATTGTAACGGACCTTGTGCGTCTGTCTCTATCTCACAGAGGGACAGCAGGCAGGACTGGCCTTCTTCACCACTCTCCACCCTCCCATTTCCCCCCAGGGGCCAGCACAGTACCTGGCACAGCCGCCTATGGGGAGAAGCACTGAGGGTGAGATCCAACCCCTACCCAGTCCTTCGGCCAACTCTGCTTTCTATGGAGCAAAGTGAGAAAGAGGCGGCCCATCTCGGCACTCCTTCAGCACGTTTGGTTTTGTTGGGAGGGGCAAGTGGGAAGTATCTGAGGGTGGGTACCTTGTTCTGACAGTTCCAGTTTCTTCTCCCCCTGGTTTGGGTCTGTCCCAAACTTCAATTTATGATATTTGGCCCTAGAACAACAAATGATTAATGAATGAGACACAGAGGAGTATACAGGGCCAGCACTCACCTCAGGAAGCCCAAATCCCAGGGCGCCCCTCCTATCCACTCTCCTACCTCTGAGGCTCCCTGCTCCCCCACACACCCCCCTCCCCATGAGGAAGTAGCCCTGGTGGAGAAGGCACCACCAATGGCGTTGTGAAGAACCCGCTCTTTGGAGTCTGGCAGACTGGGTTGCTATCCCAGCTTTAGGAGTCCTTGAAGAAGTCCTCACCCCCTGGAAGCCTCACCTGTACCCATTAGACTATTAGAAGGGATGAAACAATATGAATATACGGTGTACAGCACCACCAGCATCATGGATATTGTCACTAGTGTCTATCCTGAATCCACCTACTACATCTTACTCTGTCCCCTTTCCTGGAACTATGCAATACTGGTGATCTGATCCCAAACCTCCCTGGGTGGAAGGGAGAGCGAGCAGCCAGCCCCCCCGAGCCCCCACCCTCCTGCTGAGGACGGACTTCCCAGCAGGGACAGCGGGGCCCACCTCTCCTGCTTCAGCGCATACTCTAACATCTTGATCCGTCGTACCAGGTCAGCCTTGAGATTCTCTTGCCCTTTCCTCTCTCCCTGGAGGAAGGCCACCTGAGCCTGGGGGACAGAGGGAATAGGAAGACAGCAGAGCTCAGTGCCAGCGCCTACCCCACAATGACATGCAGTAGCCATTTCTTCAGGCGTGAAACCCCTGAACTAGGGTTCAGTGGAGCATGAGAGGGCATGCTGGATCTGCGTCCAGAGTCCCCTGCCATGTCACTTACAATGAGAGAGAAGGAGGAGTCCTTAACCCCTGAAATGAAAGCAGGGCCAGCTCGGGCCTAACCTGCCCCTGCCTCCTAGGGAGAAGCCAGCTCAGGGACAAGGTGGGGAGGTAGGTATTAACAGCCCTGGGCTCCTCCTCCCCCACCCAAAGGCAGGTGCCGTCCCTAAGGCTGCTGGTGGAGGTGGTGCCTCACTATTCCTACCAGAGCATCTGTGTCTGGGAGGCGTAGGAAGCTACTTCTGGAGTTTAGGGACAAGAGTGGGTGGCTTGGCTTAGCTCCCGCTCCAATACAAAAACTTTACGACTCGGCTCCCACTGCAGGAACCAACCATCACTGGAGTCTGCCCAGGGTGAGGGAGACATGTCACAGGCATGACCCAGGGCCCCTGCCAACCGCTTCACACTATCTGCTGGCATGGGCTGCTCCAGTCTGCTCTGGTCTGTCAACAGGTCTTCGGGAGACACTGGGCCAACGGCCTGCGAGGCAGGATCCTGGCCCCAACCATGTTCCGGGAGTCCTGTGCCAAAGCTCATCCCTGGCTTCTCCCCAAGTGCTCCACTGTTCCAGGCTGGGTCAGCCTGAGCTCCAGGCCCAGCTCAGCCACCTACTTGCTGCATGATCACAGGCAGGTCATCGGCCTTCTCTGAGCCTCCATTTCCCCTTCTAGAAAATGGGGCTTGCAAGAGTACCTGCCCTTCATGTGTTAAGTTCTCCTCAGTCCAAGGCCTAGCACAGAAGAAGGGCTAATAAATGCCAGCTCCTGCCTCTTATTATTTCTATTCTCCGTGTCCATTCTTCCAGTGTTGACATGTGCCCAGCTCTTGAAGGGAGCTAGAGTCCCTCTGAGACCCAACACCCATCCAGCAGGGACGTATGTATGTGGCTTACAGGCCTCCTCCTGCTCCTCCGGGGAGCTGCATCTTCCGGAGCCAATCCCCGCACATCACGTGCTTATTGAAGAACTTTAGCGGCCCCACCAGAAATCCCCAGTCTGGCCCCAGACACCTTTTCCAAGCAGTGCCCACTCTCAAAGCCGCACTCCAGGACTGCCAGTTCTCGGCAGCCTCTCAGATGCCCACCCGCACTGCTGTCCTCTTGGGGCTCGAAGGACACTGACCTATCTGCCCTGCGCACCTGCAACACAGCACAGTCCTGTGCCCACCTCTGTCCTGCTCCAGGGACCAGGTCTCTCCCTCACGTTAGCAGAGAACTGAGCACACGCTAAGTACTGCCTGGCACTGGCAGGGGCCAGGGAAATGGGCACCCTCGAACCCTATCCGTGGGCTCATAAATTGATGCACCCTTCCCAAAGGGCAATCTGGCTAGATCTATAAAACTATTAAATGCACATTCCTTTTGTCCTAGCAGTTCCACCTTTAGGGATTATAGGAACTTATTCTACTTATTGGAATCTATTCCATAGGCATAATTGCAGAGGTAGGCTTCCTTTTAAAAAGATAAAAAGGATATACACACATTGATGTATGACAAAAGTATCATTCATTCATTCATTCATTCGTTTACCCAAAATATTTACTGAGCCCCAACCATGTATCAGGTACAGTTGTAGACAGAGGATACAGCAATGAACAAGATGAGGTTGATATATATTCTAAAGGCGGGTGTGGGACAAACAATGAATAAGTACATGTCATCGGGTATGCCAAGGAGAAGAAACCTCATCTGTCCATTGAGAGAATGGGACTTCTTTCCCCCCTTACCATTTTTTTCTCTCTACACTTTAAATCAACACATGCGTACATAAATATCTAAGGCCAGACAGATGGACTCACTGTGATCAACATCTCAGAAGTTTGATTTTCTGTCCTTTGTGTATCTTCTCAGTCACCTAAATCTACTCTGTCCATGAGTTATTTTAGAAGGTGGGAAAGAAAGAAAAGGCTGACCACCAGACACAAGTCCTGAGGTACCTCCTCACTGTCCTCCCTGCCCTCCTGGGTTTCTATTAGTGAGCTTCCCACCTCCCGGCACCAGCACAGCCTGCTGAGAGTCTACGTTTGTCCAACATCCAACACTGGTGGTGTCCTATGACAGGCAATGGACTGTGTGAGGCACTGGAGGAATACTGGAGAAGACAAGTGGTCCCTATCCCACAGAGCTCTCAGTCCACCATAGGAGATGAGCATGAGCAATGACAACGAACACAGCATGAGCAAAGGATGTTATGGGAGGAGGGACCCCCAACCCACTTTTGGAGTTAAGAAGTGATAGTTATGCTAATACCAGAAGGCTGGTTAGAAGTTAGCCAGGGGAGTAGAGTGTGTTGATGGCATAAGACAGAGACAAAAGTTGCATGGCGGACTTCAGGGACTCTAAAAAGGCCAGTATAGCCACATCAGAATGTTACAAAGGTAATTTTAGCTATAATGTGGAGAACTGATGGCTGGGGAAGTAGGGTGTGGTGGCACGGCGAAAGGCAGAGACAAAGAGAGCCCCAGAAATCCCAGTGGTCCAGACTAGGATGGGGCAGGGGCAGGGAAGGGATGAGGGAATCTGAGGTAATGAGGAGGAGGGACTAGTAACACCCGGGTAACTTATCTGTGGGAGAAGAAAATGGGAGCATCAATCACTCAGCCCACTCTGCTCTGCTGTCCCCTTTTCCCAGTTCCTCTGGCAAAAGAGAGAGAAAAGAGAACCACAAACATGTGGTTGAAGTCTCTCAAGGCGGTGGAATCCCACAGAAAGTAGAAGTGCTGGTGGCCAGTCCCTCCTACCTAGCAAACACCAGTAGCCACCACTGCCTGATCTGCGAGTGCCGTGGTGGGCTGGCAGGTAGGTCTGGGACCTGGAAGTTCTCTCCTCACCACATCCACCCACTGCCACTTCCTCTGGTTAGAATGTTACAACATAACACCAGCTCAGAACCATTCTGAGACATGGCTGCTGCCTCTCCTCCGGCTGTTCCCTCTCTCCAGCCAGGTGGCATCAAAATGGCTTCCTGAGGCGCCTTAGCATCTGTCCTCCCAGGAACTGATGCCTCTCTGCACTCCTCTGCTGACCTTTCTGTCCCAGCCCCCAAGGGAGGGGCTTCCCAGTTGGTCCCATCGGGCCCTGCATCTCCTACACTCCTCATTCCCAAGCTCCTCAGGGATGAGTCTGCTGCATCACTCAGAGACCCTTGTGAGGCTGCAAGTGGGGAGGGGCCAGCCCCACACCTTCTCTGTTGCCACACTTGCCACATCTCTTTGTCACTGCTCCTACATGAATGTCCAGGTCAGATTTCCTCACGAGGTTTTCCTCCTGTCCTCAACAAGCTCCCCTTCCCAGAAGTGCCACAGATCATGGGCAGAGCCACACAATTCTGTAGTCTCCTGTGCAAAACTAGCTTCCTCTGTTTAGCCTGAAAGTTTCTGAAGGGCAGAAACCACACTGCCTACTTCTCAGAAACCCCCCACATGGCAAAGTCCTGCTTTTTTTTTTTTGCAAGATTTTATTGGGGAGTCAGGGAAGGGAAACAGACAAGTTGCTGTCCTTTTGTTCTTCAGTCTAGTTGTGGAGGACGTCGTTTCACTGGTCCATGTTGGTATTATCATTGCACTCTTCCTGGGTGAGGCAGATAGGTCGCCGGCCACTGGACGGCCGCTCACAGCCGCTCACACCGGCTGCCGGCCGCTCACGCTGGCTGCCAGCCACTTATGGGTAGCTCACGGCAGTGGGCAGCCCACTGTAGCAGGGGCTGCAGCCTACGCCGTCACCAGCGACTGATGGCAGCCCAGCTCCCGGTCGAGCTGTTGTTCACCATCTTAGCTGTAGAGGGCACAGCGTCACTGGCCCTAATGTGGGATCCGAACCAGGGCCCTGCTGCTCAGAGCTGGTGTCCCAAGCCAACTCTTAATGCACCACTCGGCCGGCCCAAGTCCTGCTTATTATCAGACCCAATCTACACCACCTCCCTGCTCCAATCTTTGGGTGCTTCCCAGCAGGACCTCACAAGGAGCTGCCTTTTCTGCCATTCCACACACACTTACTGAGCCCTGACTGCACAGCAGCTCCTATGCTGGGAGCAGCTGTACTGTACTCAGAGAAAAGGTATTCAGTGCTCATCAGAAAAAACTGACACAGTCCAGGCCATAAAGGATCTCTCAAGAGAAGTCACACCTCTGTAAGTGATAAGTGCCCGAACAAAGGTCTGTAAAAAGAGGTGCTTCTGATGGGAATATAAACGTGGAGCAGCTTGGCAGAATCAATCACCATTTTATAAACACATCTATTCCACTATTCCACCAATCCATTCTGCTTACTGTGAATACACAGGAATATAAGGGCATTCACTGCAGCCATTTTTTGATGGAGAAAAATTAGAAACAAGCTACAAGTCCATCAACAGGGGTAAAACTAAATGAGCTATGGTACAAACATCTAGTGGAACGTAGTTATCAAAAATAATGAGAAACTCTGTGCTGATATAAAAGGAACGCCAAGGCACAGGAGTATGTGAAAAAAGTCCTAAAGTGATACATATAATATGATCTGTTTACACACAGAGCTCAATTACTTTTATAGCAATAAATAGTTGGGAAGGAGAATGAGAGAGGGACAAAGCGGTGACATTCTCTTTTCATTTATACATATATGTATACACACACACACACCTAAGATCTTTGAATTTTTACTAATGTAAAAGAACGAAAGAAAACAAAAGTACAAAGTAAGTGATGCTAGAGCCAAAACAAGGACAGCCTAATGGGTGCTACCCACAAGTTCCTCTCAAACTCCAAGAAGGACCCACTAAGTGAGGGAATAAACACACACCTTTTCTCTCGTTAGCCTGAAAGATGAGAAGGTGGTGTGGTGGGTGCTGTAGGGTGCACAGGTGTGAAGTTCCAGAGACCAAAATTCAATCTCAGCTCTACTATGACTGCTTGGATGACCCTGGGGAGGCCAATCAGCTTCTGCGGAACAGTTTTCTCATGGGATTCAAGGCCCACAGACCAGCCCTGCCACCCATAAGCCCTGATCCTAGATAAATCACTGACCTTCTCAGGGCCTCCATTTCCTATTCTTATTAAAATAAAAAGAGGGATGGTGGTGAATTATATCACTTACCCTCCCAGAATATTGCAAGGATTAAATGATACCATGTATGTAAAGTGCTTAATACAGTGCCTGACACATAACATGTGATCAACAACAGCAGCTGCTACAATTACGGCTGAGTGAAGGCAATCACACCGGCCCTGCCTAAATAATGGGGGTATTGAGAAGATCTAATGAGATGTATGCTGCCTGGAAAGAGCCCGGAAAGTACACAGTGGGACACAAAAGCGAGGGGCACTTACATAAGGATTCCTCTCCAATCCCAACCCCAAGCCTCAGCTACCACACAGCTAAGATCTCTAGTGGAGTGGGAGAATTGTGGGATGCTCTCTATTCATCCTATGGACAAAATTCTAATCAGTTATTTACTTGGGTCCCCACATAACTAGATAGTAAACAGCAAATCAGAAGGAAAAAGATGGGCTGCTAGAAGCAGATACTGACTTCTGCTAATAATATGCCAGAGTCCAGGCACTTTCACACTCCTCTCCACCCATTGCTTGGACTCCTTCAAATCCTCACAAATCTGATGCCCAGGCTCCTTGGGACACTTTGCAAATGGACCCACACTTCTCAAGGTCACAAAACCCAGCTCAGTTTCTCAGACTCTTCTAAACATCATCCCTGGGAGCATCTCCCCCCAGGGCACTACTCCACAAACCATGAGGTCCGTTCCCAGAGATTTCCACAAACACGTCGCCCCTCAGGGTCCTTCTGAGACACTTCCTTCCTGCTCTACATAATACGCCCCCTGCCATATCCCAGACATCCTCGGATTCCTCCTTACAGTCTCAATCCCAGGTCCCCTTCTCTCCACGCTGGACATGCCTGACACCCCGCCCCCGCCCTCTCCAGTTCAGGGTTTTCCACCTGCCACCCTACACACACCTCCCATCTTAGGACCATCCTCCCCTCCTCCACACCTCCAAACTGGAGTTTTCACTCTCAAGCTCTTCCACAACGACTTCTAGGGCATGTCCTTGGGACCCCTTCCCTGCACTCGGTAGCTACACATGCCAGAGCTCCCACAGTTTCCTCCTCAGCAGGGAGGGGATACACCATCATCCTGGGACCCCTCGAGGCCCTCCTGTACCCCTTCAGTCCTCACACAACCGTCTTTCAGTTTCCTCTATCCAAATGCTCCGAAATACCCTGTGTCCCAGGATCCGTGACTTCCTCTCCCTACTCAGGCCTGGTTCCGGCCGGACTGCTCTCGCCCTCAACGGGTCCCAAGTCCTCCCGACGCCCCCTCTCCCACATTGTGCCCATTGGACTCCATCTCCAACCGCAGGTGGACATCCCTCGGCACCCGAGAGCTTTTGCTCACTCCCACACAAACCCCTCCAAAAAATCCTCTCAGCACCGTTGGCTGAGCTCTCCTGGGTTCCCGCCAGGCCCCGAGGCCACTCTCAAGAACCCGCCAGCCGGTCCGCTCACTCCCACTCCCACTTCCAGCTGGTTCTGGGCCCCTCCGCCCCTTCTCTCGGCCGGCCGCACTCGAGCACTCCCGCCCCCGGGCCCCCCATCCGTCTCGAGACGCCCGGGTGCCCCCAGGACCCTCCTCGGACTGCCCCTCACTCCCGCTCTGAGCCAGTCGCGGTCCCCTCCGGCCCCCCCGGCCGTCCCGGCGGCCATTGCTCCAAGATGGCGGCGGCGGCGGCGGCGGGTGAGGCCGGGCCGGGCCGGGAGGGGGGTCGGGGGTCCGGGGCAGCGCTCACCTGCAACTCGGCGCGCTCCGCCTCCCAGCGGGCCTTCTCCGCTTCGAAGCGCGCCCACTCGTGCTGGATAAAGTGCAGGATCCCGGGCAGGCTCAGAGGCTCCGGCCCCGCCGTGGGACCGGGGCTGCCCCCGCCGCTGCCTCCCTTAGCAGCCGGGCCGGACCCGGGGGCAGAGACCGGGGCCGCCCCCGTCGGACCAGGGCCCGCGCCCGAGCCGAGGGGACGGCAGGAGGAGGCGGCGGCGGCGACGGCTGCGGCCGCTCGCTCCTCCATCATGGAGGCCCGGGGCCGGCCCGCGCGCCCGCTGTGCCTCGCGCGCCTGCGCGGCCGCGCCAATCCCCCGCGCGCGCACTCGGCAGGGGCCGAG